AAAATCTTTAAAAAAAAAAAAAAAAAAAAAAAAAGAAATGCTCCCTGGAGCCTTACAGCTGTTCCCCTCGGCCCCAGCTCTACACCAAAACCACGCTGACATAATGGACCGTCCAGGCACAGCAGCCCCGAGCCAGGCTGTGGTCTTACCAGTCCTTCTGAGACACATTCTGGTTGTAAATGTGCCCGCTGAGGTTTCTGTACGGTGGACAGATGCATTTGCAGCGGATATCTTCAGAGCTCTGGACGAGAAAGCGCGTATCAGGGACGTCCTGGGTTCAGGCACCAGCAAGACTCTCAACTCTCGGCCCCCATTCCATAAGGCGCCCCGGCCTTCCCCCACCCCCAAGGTCAGCAAGGAATGGCATCTGCAGGGAGGGTGCTACATCACAGGGTCCTTAAGACACCTGTCCAGGTGGCAAAGGAGAGTCACAGAAAGCTGCCTGGGGCTGCCATCCCCTTGCAGGGTGCTGGGGTGGGGGGCACGTGGAAAGCAAAGCTACGGTCCTCCACCCTGGGCCCACACCTGTGTGTGCCCCTCTGTCCAGCAGTCCTGGTGGCCGGCCTCTTCCCACCCATTCCATCTCCAACTTCCTAGGTTAGGCTTGGGGGAAGGACCAGGGCGGGATGAAGGAGACAAAGCGGGTGGCTTCCGTGGGAATACCCAAGCTGCCCCTCTGAAGATCCTGCCTCTCTGGACCGGGTAAGAGACACTGCCACCAACATTTTCATCCCAGGTAGGAATTCCCCAGAGGGAGCGCAAGCAACACCCCACAGGCCCCAAAAGGTGTCGCTCCTGCTGAAAGTCCTTGTTATCAAACCTAGAGTTAATATCTGACCTAATTGCAGTTTCAGCCTCTCCCAGAAACATCATCTTCATCAGTCTGGGATTTTCTGGCCAAGCACCAGTCGGGTCATGTGTCTCATCCCCCATGGAGAGAGGCAGTCTACATGACATCCTCCCCCTCCGCGCTCCCCCCCCGTCCCCCCCCCTCCAGAGAAAAGGCGTCCCTGACCCAAAGAACGCTTTCTTTTCTTCCGTCCACAGCTCCCTGGCCCCGCCCTTCTTCCCAGGAAACCCTTCCGTTGCGCGCCCGCCCTCCTCGGACCACCCTTCCAGGTTCCAGAAGGGATGCTGGCCGATTCATGAGTCCCTTAATAAAGCCAATGGGATCCTCAAATTTACTCGGTTGCATTCTGTTGTTTTAATACCTAAAACTTCTTCAAAGCCTTGGCGATCTTCAGAATCTCAAATTCCACGGACCCACCCAAACCTAGGTCGGGGTCACCGTCCCAGCACGCAGGTTGGGCGCGCTCCTTACAGAAAGCCCCACCTGTGCGGGACTTGACACTCATCCCACGACTCGATTTCCCCCCCGAGAAGCAGTTATTAAGGTCACCGACCCGGACACAGGCTCCCTGGCTGGAACGCCAGCCCTGCGCTGGCCCCGCGCACAGGGAGGCCTGCGGTCTGCGCCCCAAGCGGACGCCACCAAATGCGGGGCGCGCAGGGTGTGTGTGTGGGGGTGTTGGGGGCGCGCAG